GCTTCTGGGGTGCTTGCAATATCCAGTCTTTTACTGAGTGATGGTTACAGCTGTGATCACTTTGTGGAAGTCCATTGTTATTCACTTATGATTAGTCCGTTTTTCTGTATGGTACACTACAACTAAAATGATTACTTTTTTAAAAAGGTGAAAAACAAACATGCAGAGCCCTGCTCCTTCAGAATCTTCTAACCGTAGAAGGAATGACCTCTTGTAAGACTGTTTCTCCTTTCTCCTATGGTACTTATTCTCATTCAGGTGTAGACCCAAGGGGTTTGAAAACGAACTGGCACTTTAAATATTTTTTAACAACTTTATTGAGATATAACCTATCAACGTAAGATTTACCAACTTTGATTATGCAATTTGGTAATTTTTAGTAAATTCATAGTTGTGTAACCATTAGCATAATCCACTTTTAAAATATTTTCATCATTCCAGGAAGTTCCTTCGTGCCCATTGGCAATCAATCCTTGTTTTTACCCCTGGTGCCAGACAAATACTGATCGCCGTAAATTTGACTTTTCTAGACATTTCACATAAAAGTCTGACTTCTTTCACTTAGTGAAAATGTTTAAAAAGTTCATTCATGTTGTTTACTCCTTTTTATTGCTAAATAGTATTCTTCTGTATGATGTACTAAGGTTAATTTATCAGTACATCAGTTGATGGATATTTGGATCGTTCCATTATTTGACTATTAGAAATAATGCTGCTACAAACATTCATGTACAGATTATTGTCTAGACAAATGTTTTCATTTATCTTAAATACATATGCAGCATATGCAGCAGTGGAATTGCTGGATCACGTGGTAAACTCTGTTTAATCATTTAAGGAAGTGTTGTGCTGTTTTCCAAAGAACTACACCATTCTATACTAGCACCAGCAGTACAAGAGGGTATCACTTTCTCCATATCATATCAACACTTTTTTTTGTCCATCTGGCACATTGTGGGTTTTATTTGCATTTCTCTGATGGCTAACAACATTAAGCTTCTTTTCATGTGTTTATTGACCATTTTTGTATCTTCTTTGAAGAAATGTCTGTTTAGATCCTTCGACCATTTTTACTTAGGTTATGCATCTTTTTATTACTGATTTGTAAGAGTCCTAATTTATACATTCTAGATACAAGTCCCTTATCAAATATGCGATTTGCAAATATTTTCTCTCATTCTTTGACCTGTCTTTTCATTTTCTTCATAATGTTCTTTATAGCACAAGAATTTTAATTTGGAATCCAATTTATTTTTTCTTTTGTTATTAATGCTTATGACGTCATATGTAAGAAACCATTGACAAATTCAAGATCACAAAGATTTACTTCTATGTTTTCTTCTAAGAATTGTATAGTTTTTGCTCTTATATTTAAGTCTATCTCTGATCCATTTTTAATTAATTTTTGTGTATGGTGGGAAGAGTTGAATTTCATTCTTTTTTTTTTTTTTTTTTTTTTTTTTTTTGAGACGGAGTTTCGCTCTTGTTACCCAGGCTGGAGTGCAATGGCGCGATCTCGGCTCACCGCAACCTCCGCCTCCTGGGCTCAGGCAATTCTCCTGCCTCAGCCTCCTGAGTAGCTGGGATTACAGGCACACGCCACCACGCCCAGCTAGTTTTTTGTATTTTTAGTAGAGACGGGGTTTCACCATGTTGACCAGATTGGTCTCGATCTCTTGACCTCGTGATCCACCCGCCTCGGCCTCCCAAAGTGCTGGAATTACAGGCGTGAGCCACCGCGCCCGGCTGAATTTCATTCTTTTATACGTGAACATCCAGTTGTCCCAGCACTACTTGTTTAATAGACTATTCTTTCCCTCATTGAACTATTTGCACAATGTTGTCTACAATAATTGACCATAGATGCATGAGACCATTTCTGAGCTCTCAATGCTATTCCATTTACCTATGTCTACCCTATTGCCAGTACCACATTGTCTCAATTACTGTAGCTTTGAAGTAAGTTTTGAAATCAGGATATGTGGCCAGGCGTGGTGGCTCGTGCCTGTAATCCCAGCATTTTTGGAGGCCCAGGAAAGTGGATCACCTGAGGTCAGGAGTTTGAAACCAGGCTGACCAACAGGGTAAAACCCCATCTCTACTAAAAATACAAAAAATTAGTCAGGTGTGGTGGTGTACACCTGTAATCCTAGCTACTCTTCAGGCTGAGGACGAAGAATTGCTTGAATCCAGGAGGTGGAGGTTACAGTGAGCCAAGATCGTGCCACTGCACTCCAGCCTGGGTGACAGAGTGAGACTTTATTTCAAAAAAACAAAAACAAAAACAAAAAACCAGGATATTTGAATCCTCCAACTTTATTCTTTTTAAGGATCATTTTTGCTTTTCTGAGTCCCTTATAATAATATTTCCATATGAATTTAAGGATCATATCATCACTTTCTGCAAAAAAAAAAAAAAAAAAAAAAAAAAAAAAAAAAAAAAAAACATGTTTTTTAAAGATGGGATTCTCATAAGAATAGCATTAATCTTTAGATCAGTTTGGAGAATATTACCATCTTAACATGATTAAGTCTTCCATTCCATAAATATGGCATGTCTTTCCATTTATTTAGGTTTTTTATTTTTTTCAACAATGTTTTATAGTTTACCTGGTACAAGTCTTGCACTTTATTAGCAAATACTTTATTATTTTTGATGTTATTACAAATGGAATTGTTTTTATAACTTCAGTTTTTGATTGCTTGGGGTATAGAAGTACAATTGACATGGTATATTGGTCTTGTATCTTTCAATCTTACTGCATTTGTTCATTTGTTATAATAATTTTTATATTTCTAGTAACTTTTTTTGTCTTAAAGTCTATTTTGTATATTATTAGAGCCGAACCATAGTTCTTTTTTGGTTATTGTTTGTATGCTATATATTTTGCCATCCTTTTACTTTCAACATATTTGTGTCTTTGAATCTGAAGCCCATCACTTGTAGATAGAATATAATTGGATTATGGTTTTTTTTTAATTTATTTATTTTTTTATTTAATTTTTTATTTTTATTTTATTTTTAGCAATGGGGTTTCACCATGATGGCCAGGCTGGTCTTGAACTCCTGATCTCAGGTGATCAACCCACCTCAGCCTCCCAAAGTGCTAGGATTACAGGCGTGAGCCACCACACCCAGCCTTCTGGATTATGGTTTTAAATCCATCCTGCCAACTTCTGCCTTGTATTTGGAGTTTTAATTATTTTATACTTAATGTAATTACTGATAAAGTATAATTTATGCCCATCATTTAGTTGCTTGTTTTCCATGTGACTTATGACCTACGTATTACTCTATTCTTTCATTACTGACTTCTTATATATTAAACAAATTCTTCGTAGTGTCCTGTTTTAATTCCCTTGTCATTTCTTTTACTATATTTTTGAGTTAATTTCTTAGTGGTTGCCCTGGGGATTACTATTAAAAACTTCATTCAGAATTGGGCGAGAAAATAGCAGACAGGAGGCAGGACTAACTTGCAGCTCCCACTCGGATGGACAGAGCAACATGTGGAGACTCACATCGTGTACTTCAGCTCCAATAACTACCGCAGGAACATACCAGGAAAGCCAAGAGAATCCACAGACCCTTTGAACGAAGCAGATTGCTCCTGCAGTCTCTGGAAGACAACCGAAAAACTCAGTGCCCAGAAGTATAAAAGTATGAAAGAACACACGTCCTCCCTGGGGAACCTGAAGCTCCAGATCACGGGAGAATAATTTGACCTTACATGGAGATGAGATGAACTTAGTGAACTGAGGGAAATACAGGGATAGAGGAAGCAGTGGGAAGAGTTCTGCTGGCACTCTTAGTCCCTGGAGAAGCCATTTCTGACTTTGTCTTACAAGAGTCCTTAGGGAGGGCTGCCAGTGGAATTAGGGAAAAATCACAAGGAGAGGTTGTGAACTGAACTTTGTAACAGTTTCAACCAAAGACTAAGTTTCCTGGAAAGAATCTGGGTGAGAGGGTGAACCAGGAGTGCAGACACAATACGGAGGTTGTGACAGGCAAGGAGCTGCAAAACCTGGAAGTCCTGCTTTCCTTTGGGGAGGGCTGCAGCCTGGGGCAGATCCTCAGCCCTGCTCACCCACTACCTGGAAATAAACTCCGTGCTGTTATGATGGGCACAGTGGGAGTGAGACTAGCCTTTTGGGCTGTGTCGGAGCTGGGTGAGGCCTGTTACTGACAGCTTTCCCCCAGCCTGCATGATACAGCAGAGGCAGCCATAATCCCCATGGGAATATAACTCCATTGGCGGGAGAATCACACCCCCATCCCCCATAGCGGCCACAGCAAGACCCACCCAAGGAGAGTCTGAGCTCAGACACACAATCTCTTGGGAGCTCTATGGTGTCACCCACCACCTGAGAAACATCCAAATGACCTAGGGCAAGCCTGTATCCTCCCTATACTACCACAGCTGATTATCTCCTGAAATCACTGCTTCCTGGCTGGAGGCCAACCAACACAAAATTAGCAATAAACAAAAATACAACCAAGGACCCTCACAGAGTCTGCTTCACTCTCCTGCTACCTCCACCATAGCAGTTGCTGGTATCCATGGCTGAGAGACCTGAAGATGGATCACATCACAGGACTCTGCAGATACTCCCCAGTACCAGCCCAGAGCTCAGTAGCTCTGCTTGCTGGGTGGCTAGATCCAGAAGAGAAAGAACAATCACTACATATCGGCTTTCAGGAAGGCATGTCCATGAATACCAACATCCAGGGAGCACTCCATGGGACGAAAGAATCTGAACACCAGCCCTTAAGCCTCAGATCTTCTCTCTGACGTAGTCTACGCAAATGAGAAGGAACCAGAAAAACAATTCTCGTAATATGACAAAACAAGGTTCTTTAACACTCCTAAAATACCACCCTGAGGAGAGAGATCCAAGATGGCTGATCACTAGCAGCTCGGGATTGTAGCTCCCAGTGAAAACGCAAAGAACAAGAGGACGCCATACCTTCACATGAATTCTTGTTGCTCGCGCACCAGGAGATTCCCAGTGGAGGAGCCCCACGGGTCGCCAGCGTGACTCTTGTGACCGGCGAGGCGGTTTTGCCGGCGCCTCGGAGCGTCGGTTCTTGGTGCAGAGTCAGAAAAGCACCATCAATCTTAACGCTGCTGATTTAGTCGGTGCAGTGGGTGGCTCAGATTTCGGCGCTGAGAATCAATAAGTTGGACGTCCACTCAGAAACTCAATTACAAAGACGGTAATTATAAAGATTGCAGGTGGATAAATCCACAACGAAGGGAAGAAAACAGTCAAAAAAGGCTGAGAATACGCAAGATCAGAACGCCTCTTCCTCAGCAGGGGATCCCAGTTCCTCATCAGCAACAAAACAAGGCTTGATGGAGAACGAGTGTGTTCCAATTACAGAAGCAGGCTTCAAAATGTGGATAATGAGAAACTTCTGTGAATTAAAAGAACTTGTTCTAACACAATCTAAAGAAACTAAGAACTTTGAAAAAAGGTTTGACGAAATGTCAACAAGAATACAAAATTTAGAGAGGAAAATAAGTGAATTGATGGAGCTGAAAAACACAATACGAGAACTATGTGAAGTATGCACAAGTTTTAACAGCTGAGTTGATCAAGCAGAAGAAAGGATATCAGAGATCGAAGACCAACTCAATGAAATAAAACTAGAAGACAAGATTAGAGAAAAAAGGATAAAAAGGAATGAGCAAAGTCTCCAAGAAATATGGGACTATGTGAAAAGACCTAATCTACGCTTGATAGGTGTACCTGAGTGTGACGAAGAGAATGAATCCAAGCTGGAAAATACGCTTCAGGATATTATTCAGGAAAATTTTCCCAACTTAGTAAGGCAGGATAATATTCAACTCCAGGTAATAAGGAGAACACCACAAAGATATTCCTCAAGAAGAGCAACTCCAAGGCACATAATTGTCGGATTCACCAGGGTTGAAATGAAGGAGAAAATACTAAGGGCAGCCAGAGAGAAAGGTCAGGTTACCCACAAAGGGAAGCCTATCAGACTTACAGTAGATCTCTCAGCAGAAACCCTACAAGCCAGAAGAGAGTGGGGACCAATATTCAACATCCTTAAAGAAAAGAACTTTCAACCAAGAATTTCACATCCAGCCAAACTAAGCTTCATAAGTGAAGGAAAAATAAAGTTTTTTTGTGAACAAGCAAGCACTCAGAGAATTCATCACCACCAGGCCTGCTTTACAAGAGCTTCTGAAAGAACCACTACACATAGAAAGGAGCAAACAGTATCAGCCTTTCTAAAAAATACCAAAAAGTAAAGAACATCAATATAATGAAGAATTTACATCAACTAATGGGCAAAATAGCCAGCTAATATTAAATGGCAGTATTAAACTCACTTATATCATTATTAATTCTAAATTTAAATTGACTAAATTCCCCAATTCAAAGACAGACAGGCAATTTGGACAAAAATCCAAAACCCATCGGTATGCTGCATCCAGACCCATCTCACATTCAAGGATACACAAAGACTCAAAACAAGGGATGGAGAAAGATTTACCAACCAAACCGAGAGCAAAAATAAATAAATAAAAAGCAGAAGTTACAATTTTTGCCTCTGATAAAATAGTCTTTAAAGCAACAAAGATCAAAAGAAGCAAAGAAGGACATTATATAATGATAAAAGAATCAACGCAACAACAAGAAGAGCTAAAGATCCTAATTATATACGCACCCAATACAGGAATACGCAGACATACAAGACTTATAGAGACTTAGACTCCCACACAATAATAGTGGGAGACTTCAACATTAATATTAGACAGATCAATGCGACAGAAAATGGTCACACTGCCAAAAGTAATTTTTAGATTCAACACCATTCCCATTAACCTACCAGTGACTTTCTTTGCACAGTTAGAAAAAACTACTTTAAATTTCACGTGGAACCATAAAAGAGCCCATATAGCCAAGACAATCCTAAGCAAAAAGAACAAAGCTAGAGGCATCACGCCACCTGACTTCAAACTATATTACAAGGCTACAGTAACCAAAACAGCATGACACTGGTACTAAAACAGATATATAGACCAAAGGAACAGAAGGGAGACCTCAGAAATAACACCACACATCTACACCCATCTGATCTTCGACAAACCTGACAAAAACAAGTAATGTGCAAAGGATTCCTTATTTAATAAATGTGCTGGGAAAACTGGCTAGCTGTAACATCACACACCAGGGCCTGTTAGGAGCAGGAGGGCAAGTGGAGGGAGAGCATTAGGAAAAATACCTAATGCATATGGGGCTTAAAACCTAGATGATTGGTTGATAGGTGAGCAAACCACCATGGCACATGTATACCTGTGTAACAAACCTGCACATTCTGCACATATATTTCAGAATTTAAAGTAAAACTGGACTGAAACTGGACCCCTTCCTTACATCTTATACAAAAATTAACTCAAAGTGAATTAAAGACTTAAACATAAAACCCAAAATGATTTAAAAAAAAGAAAAACCCTAGAAGAAAATCTAGGCAATACCATTCAGGACCTAGGCATAGGCAAACACTTCATGACTAAAACACAAAAAGCAATGGCAACAAAAGCCAAAATTGACAAATGGGACCTAATCAAACTGAAGAGCTTCTGCACAGCAAAAGAAACTATCATCAGAGTGAGCAGGCAACCTACAGAAACAAACATTTTTACAAGCTACTCAGCTGACAAAGGGCTAATATCCAGCATCTACAAGGAACTAAAACTTACAAGAAGAAATCAACCAATCCTATCAAAAAGTAGGCAAAGGATATGAACAGACACTTCTCAAAAGAAGACACTCATGCAGTCAACAAATACTTGAATAAAAATTCAACATCTCTGATCATTAGAGAACTGCAAATCAAAACCACAATGAGATACCATCTCATGCCAGTTAGAATGGTGATCATTAAAAAGTCAGGAAACAACAGATGCTGAAGAGGATGTGGAGAATTAGGAACGCTTTTACAATGTTGGTTGGAGCACAACTGAATTAAACTATGTGGAAGACAGTGTGGCGATTCCTCAAAGATCTAGAACCGGAAATCCCATTACTAGGTATATACCCAAAGGATTATACATTATTCTACTATAGAGACACATGCACATGTATATTTATTGCAGTACTATTTACAATAGCAAAGACTTGGAACTAACCCAAATGCCCATCAATGACTGACTGGATAAGGAAAATGTGGCACATATACACCATGGAATACTCTGCAGCCATTAAAAAAATGAGTTCATGTTCTTTGCAGGGACATTGATGAAGCTGGAAGTCATCACCCTCAGCAAACTAACACAGGAACAGAAAACCAAATATCACATGTTCTCACTCATAAGTGGGAGTTGAACAATGAGAAGACATGGACACAGGGAGGGGAACATCACATGCTGGGGCATCTCAGGAGCCAGAGTGCAAATGGAGGGAGCACATTAGGACAAATACCTAATGCATGCGGGGCTTAGAACCTAGATGACGGGTTGATAGATGCAGCAAACCACCATGGCACATGTATACCTATGTAACAAACCTGCACGTTCTGCACATGTATCTCAGAACTTAAGGTTAAAAAATAAATAAAATCAAAAAGCACACCAACAAAATTCTAAATAATTAAATGCCTAATCCAGAAATGCTTAATAAAGTTGGAAGCATAATCTTCTTTCTGTACTATGTGCACACACCTCACTTAAGGAATAGTATAATGATCTGACCCACCACGCTAGGACAAGGGTAGCATAGTAGGTTTCCAGTGACAGCCTGGACTCTGGAGGAATCCTTTGGCCTTGGAACAAAGGAAAAATAGACTCCCACATTGTTTTTTGGCTTGAGTTCTGCCCCTTCTCATCCAGAGAGAAAATCTGGATTGCAAGTCATGACTGACTAACATCTGAACTTCTGAAACCTAATTTTTTTGAGTTTGAGTTTGAAAATCTGATGTGGGCACCAGAGTCATGATGGTAACCAGATTTCCAGGGTGAACAGCTAGTAGATATGATTGGACACCTGTCTTTCAGTTACAGCCTAGAAGTCCTTTGGTGTCCTGGCTGTGGTAAGACTATATTTGAGAGTCTGTAAAAGTTTCAGAAAGGTGAAGTAAAATAACAGATTTGCAGAGATTTTGTCAGCATTTCTTTTGCTTAAGTAAATTCCTTCAGTTTGGAATCATAAATCCCATGAGTAAATGAAAGAGAAACCAATGGCCCACAGCAGTATGTCATGTGTCTGAAGAATGGTGAATATTCTGATTTTTAAAAATTATTAGGATGGGAATTTTTATTTTTCCCTATAGTGAATTTTACATACGTATTTTTCTCCACCTCTGCTTTTGTTCCCTGGCTAAAGAGAATGCTCTGAATGTGTTTAAGGGAGAAAAGCCTTTATTCCCTCCACACAGAGGAAAAGAAATCAGTCATGAAGGATAATCTATTTGTAATTGTAACCCTTTGTCTGTATCTAGCTTTTGAGGAAAACATTTTTGGAGATTAACTTATCATAAGAATCTATCATTTGTGAACACTATAAATATATCCAACCCAAACAGATCTACTGTCAAGGTTGAAGAAACATATAGACTTGAAATTGATTCTGCATTGTGTAGAGAGCAGAGAATTTTGACTTCTACAGAATTTAGTTGGCTTATATAACAATAATATGAATGAATGTGTATGTGTATTTAAAACCTTGAATTGCACATAAAATAGGAATACAATAGCATATAACAAAATAGAGAAAAAACATTTCTTAAAACTTCACCTATAAACTCCTGCTTGGGCAATCTCTAGCTTGTCAAAGAGTTTACATGATTTTTCCACTGTATGAATATGAAGTATTTTCTAAGAGTATTTTAGAACACTTCTGCCTACATCCAGAGGGAATTAATAAATTTGAGGATGAGGTCTTAAATTTAAGAGATTTTGTTCTGTTTAGCTTGAGACTAACAAGTACTTACACAAACGGAAAAGAACTCAAGAATTCCCATACAAAGAAGAAATTGGACTTTCTGATGCTTTAAATGTACTGGCCCTTTAAGAAAAACTTTTCACACACAAAAACTGCCAATTCAGAAACTGAAAAGCTGAAATAGTCAAATGGTTAGAGGCTAGGTTCCAAAGAAAGAAATGAAATGAGATATCAAGGTAGCAATTAGTAATCATAAAAAAGCACTAT